AAAGAAAACAGACTTGCTTTATGCTGTCCGAAGTTTGTCAAGTTGTGCACTTCTGAGTTAGTAAGTGTCCCTCCTAAGGCATGTTTCTTCAGTGAGTGGTGGCAACCTGTGGAAGTGGCGGAGTAGAAACACCAGCTAGTTTTAAATTGGAGGGTAAGAAGGGGGTGTTTGGGTTTGATGGGTTTTTTTTGGGTTGTTTTTACTTTTGGAGCACTTGAACTAGTGTCTTCTGTATTTAAATGAAGGTGGTGGTAGTAAAGGGCTCAAATGAAGAACTCAATGCTATCAGGTGGGTGTTCTCTGTGACCTAAGTAAGAATCACTTCCAGAGCAAATAATAAAGCAGTGAATATTACAGATTGGAATCACATTTTCAAAAATGCCCATTAAAATTATCCAGCTTGAAACATATCAAATGGTCTTCCTGTTCCAAAAGTCATGCTCAGGACTGCTTCCTGCTCACCCTTTATTCAGACAAAACATGACATTTTTATTTTTATTTTTATTTTCTTTAGGAGGAGTAATTTAAAGCCCAGGAGATTTTGGCCAATGAAAAAAAAACCCAGGCTCTGGAACTGTTTCTAGATTATTTGCAAGTCATCTATACTTCATTGCTTTAAATAAACACAATGTGTGTTTATTCTCCTAATACTCAGTTCCTTATCTACTTTAAAATGTTTTCACATTCTGGAGAGTCCTCATTCCTGTGAGCTAACATGCTTGATTACTTCATAAGCTGCAAATGAGGGGCAGAGTTGTGAGCCCTCATAACATGATGCTGTCAAACTTAACAAAACATTTATAAGACCATTACCACATCAGACATTTGCTTTTAGTCAGGTCGTTTTAATCAATTTGACTTTACAGGGCAGCTAATTTATCACTTAGCTAAACAAGTATTTCCTCTACTTGTCATCAATTTCAGTAATTAAAATGGTAAACTTTGCTATATGGCATGAAATAAAGGCCCAAAGATAATTTGGAGAAGGTGGATGATACAGTCTAGTAGAATGAATGCAAGGTATTATTTAAATACTTTGGTACGCTTCAGTAGTTTTCAGAAATGTCATATTCTGGTAGCCTTGCTGGTATGGATATAAGCTGTTTTTTATTTTTAGCACATCCAAAATTAAACAATATCGTTCAGCTTCTTCCTCAAAAGTTAGTGGGTTCTTGTTCTCCTTTCTTTAAGCATACAATGCTTTGGTATTTTGCTTGATTGTTTGGGGGTAAGAGGTTATTAGACATCAAGGTTTGGACAAGTGCTGCAGTATGTGCAGGTGTTCTGCCCTGGTCCTAAGTACTTCCTCAAGGCTGCAGGTCCTCTCCTTTCATTTCACCACTGGGGGACAGGAAGAGAGGGGAAATGGATGTTGTAGAAGCTCAGAATTGCCTAATTCTTTTTCATCTTCTCAGTTCCACCTTCAAAATTTCTTTTATGAGACTGATTATATTTTCTAATTTTGCCCAAACAGTGTGAATGCTCTTCACATCTTAAACATAGTCCATAAGCCTGTCTTTCAAAGAATTTTTGGTATCTGCATTGAGAACCTGGGTTGACAGGTCACAGACGTACTGATAAGATGCCTTTACTGGAAAGCAGACTGGATTCACTCCACATGCATTGGTCAGTGAGGAGCACACCTGAATGCTGTTCTCGGTGGCGTGAGGGCTGTCCCTGTTTGTGTGCCTAAGGAGAGTAGCCAGACAAGTAGTTTGTATGCCTGTATTTTCCTTGGGCTCATGGGTGGATTAGTTTCTCTTTTCATTCCCTTAACTATATAAATGTTTCATACACAGCCTTAATTATTTTTTCATATATATTAAAGAATAGTTGAACTCCCGGCGCTGGGAAGGGTGCCTGGTCTTTGGGGTTTTTAGCCCTTCATCTCTGGTGGAACAAAATAAGTAGGAATAGATAAAATAATCACTGTTAGCTCTGACTGAGATGTTAGGGTTTAACTAGATAGCCAGTATCATCAAGTCTTGTAATCTAATAATTGAATTCTAGATTTTTATAATATTTTTATTGTTTCACATTGAGAATGTTTTTAAATTGCATCTTATTTAATATCAACAATATGTTACAGGCCATTACAAATCAACCACAAACCTGTAAAGAATTAATCTGTCTCAGTAAGATCCCAAGCGTAATCATAATTGTTTAATAGTTCTCTTTTCTCTTTGTTCAAACAGCTGAAAAGAACTTAAGTATAAAACTGTAGAGAAAATTGCTTGGACTAAGGAGTGACAAGACTAATAGGTAGTGATTTTTTTCTAACACTAATCAAATGTATCCGTAAACAAACACAAGTAACTGATTAAATCGCTCTGCAAGTATCAAAAGTAAATCTATTCAGCTGTTTAAAACTGCTCTAACCGTCTGTAAAGTAAATTATGGCTATTATGTGTTGTAAAGGCATGGTATTTGGGGAGTATTTAGGAAAAGAGAAGGTGGATACAGAACAGAAGAATGCAGAACAACAAATTTACTAGAGCTAATTTCCTACTGTGTTATGGACATAGGACAATATATGTCTGAAGCGTATTATGTCTTAACTAAGTGGTGGCTGGTAAAACTACAAGGGCTGGTAAGGTCATTTTGTACCTAGTTCTCAATTTGAAATGCACTCAGGATTGTGCCTTGGTCAGATGATGTAACAATGTCTAAAGGACCATCAAAATAACAACTTAAACTCTAGCAGCGTAGTTCAAAATAAACCTGTAATTTTTTGTGAAGACAAAATCAACAGGTCAGTAGAGAGGTGATTGCAATCAGAGAACCATAGAATGATTTGGGTTGGAAGTGACCTTAAAAATCGTCTAGTTCCAAGCCCCCATCTGGCTTAGAACACTTACACAGTTTTACAATTGTAAATTTACAATTTACATTGTAATAATTTACAATTATTACAGTGATATAGCAAAGGGAACAAGAGCAGCAACTAAAATTCCAGCAAGGGAAAACTATAAATGTATCTTTCTGCAAAGTTGTTTCTTGTGTTTTGTTTTAATTGAAAGAATTAAGTAAATTCTTTCAAGCGTTTCATTTATTTTTTCAAGGTATGAGGTAGTTCTAAATGTCTCTCTGTATTCTGTAGCCATAAGACTACATTAAAATGGATAGCAAATTTATAAACATTTTTCTTGGAGTTTCCATTTGTGCATTTTTCATTATTATGGTTTAGAAATTACATAGGAAATACATGATGTGTACTTGTGTTTATAATACATTTTGTTGAGCTAGTACAAAGAGTTGTTCAAGGCAGTTCTGGTTTAGTGGTGTGTTTTTGTCATGTGACTGCACTAATTTGACATAAAGGTGTATCACTGCAGAAGTGGGTAGTCCTGCCTTCCCTCAGTTACTGGCTCCTTGTTCACAAGAGCTTCACATGTTCTCTTCTGTCTAAAAATAGTAAGAGATAATGGTGTGATCATTTCAGCACCACACTGACACAGGTGCCAAGACAGATAAAGGACAAAACCCTTAAGGGACACAGCTGAGAGAGCATCCTTTTGAAGACAGTCTGAGTGCATTGGTTTGAAGGAGATGCCTAACAGTGGCCCAACTAGCTTTGTTTATTATTTAGTGTTTTGGGTTTGTTTGGGGGTTGTTTAGTTGTTTGGTTTTTTTTACATAGCTTTATAGGAAATGAAGCAGATGAATAATGTATAAAAGCAGAAAGGTCTTAGGAATACCAGTCCCCCTTCATTTATTGACAGTAAACTGAAGGTATAAAGCATATATGGTCAATGCCATGCCTTGTAAGGACCAAAGGAAAACCATAGCTGAAGTGATTTCCAAATAGGTAATATACCAGTCCTGAAAGTGTAGGTGCACACCTCTTTGTGTGTTTGTCCTTGCATATTTATTTTTAAATATAATTTTATTGGAATTAAAAGTTACAGTACTTGTAAACTAAGCAGTTAGGATAAGTGATACTTAAAACTCAGATGGCAATCAGAGGTGACTACCTAGTGTGCTTGGGCAAATCAAACCTATTTGGCTGGCATAGTTCTTTCATGTTGCAGGTTAATAAATTGCTGTACAGTGACCAAAATGCAGTCTTGACAAATGGACCCTTGTGCTGTTAATGCACTGGAAAGGTCATTTTTAATTCTTACTGGTCTGACCATAATACTGTCTGTTTTTCACTCTTTTATTGGCATCCACTTACTCCTTGCAGCCAGTATTAGCTTCCAACACTCCTCATGTGAACTTCTAACGTAGTTTTTGTTCACTTATGTGGTAGTTTTGTGAATGACATTCAGCAGCTTGTGATGATGAATCTGGGTCACCTACTTCCTGGCGTTTTGATTTCATTGTTTCTCCTCTTTTGCCCTTTATTTTTGGAAGAACTTCTTTGTAAGTAATCACTGCCTAGCTGATTATGTTTCTTCAAATGCTTCTTTAACATTATGTTTCCAGAAAGCTAATATAAATCTTATTAAAACCAAAATCAGCCATCTTACCAATCAGAAATATCTCATTCTCCCTTTTAGCATGTGCTTGTGTCCTTCTTGCTGTTATCTTATACTTGACGTACGATTTCTGAAAAAGAAGTGCTTAAAAGGAAGTTTTTCTAGGATAGTAGGTCCTGAATCCAGAAGAGTGATGATGATGGGTCTAACCTTAGCTTTGCTTTATAATCTTCATCATCTGCAAGGACTATCAGTTCTCCTTGGAATCGGACTAAGAGATGAGTTGGGGAAGCTAGAAAAAGGAAGTAAAGAAGCTCTTTCCCCAGTTTACACTCTGTCAAAACCACTCTTGGACTTTTACTTGCAGTGTGATAGTTGGAGGCACTATGACAATTCTTTTGCACTACAAATAATAAAACATTTGAATAGAGACACTTTTTTTTCTGCAACTAGGCAGCTAATGGTGATATTACATCTGGAAAATAAGGACAGGTTTTAAGCATTTTTGCTATTGAGTTGTGTGATTGAAAATTAGCTAAAGAAACACTAAAATGTTTGTTGTTTTTTTTTTTCCTCCAGATAAATACACTTTGATTGGAATTTACTATTTGCCATTATGTATCATTCTGTGTCTGAAACCAGTCACCCTTTGCAAGCCGAGGAACAAGAAATAGGCATTGATCCCTTGCAGAGTTATTTGAACAAGCCAGAGGAAGGTGAGTTTGTATGTCTGTATTTTTTTTTTACTTTATACCTAGAAACTTTATATAAATGTGTTATGACAACTCTACCTGTCCTAATTTGTTTAATTCTCTCAGTGAACTTGAACAGGGCAACTTAAGGAACATTTCACAGAGTATGTGCAGAACACTGACACTAATGAAAACCACGAAAAGTCAACTTTCAATTACAGACAGAAACATTAGCCAAATGTTTAATGCGCTGTCATCCTTTTTTAATCATAAACCAAACACTGACTTCAGCATAAGAATACTGAAATGCAGCATGATTTTATGTTACTTTCTGAAGCATGAGCTCTTACACTGTGTATGTTTGGGGGATTTTTGTGCAGTAAAGTTCAGTGTGTTATTTTGGATGAGATCATGCAAATAAAAAGGCCATTTTTTATTTTTTATTTTTTCTTGGCTCAGCACCTATATCCTTATTTTTTAAAAAACAGAAGCTGAGATAAAATGAACAGGCTCTAAAGGTAGAAATTATTATGTAACCTAAAGTAAATTAATTAAATGCAGTATTTGGAAGACTAATGAACAGTGAGAACGAACTGCTTGCATAATGCAGTGCATGTCTGTGTTGCTTGTCTTTTCTACTTATTTGTGAGTAGTGACAGTATAGTTGGTTGGAAGAAAGTGATAAGCTTAACGAGGAAGCTCATCCTTGTCATGAAAACATTCCTCAAGTGCTCAGTTATACACAGTGGCACCTTAACTACCTGTAATTTTCCAGTCATTGAACACATGTACCAGGAGGGCAAAATAAAAAATTTATTTTAAATTACAGAGTTGAAGCAACTTTGTCATATTTCTTAAGTCCCTCACCCAGATCGACTGCTCTGTGTGGGTGTATCTGTCTATAAATCTTCCATTTACTAGTGCTTACCAAAATAGCTATGTCAAGTTTTGCTTAGTCAGGTTTATTACTTCAGTTTATAAGAAGCTGATGTTTTGCTTTAAAATACATTGGTAAAACTTCATTGTCCCTTTGAGCTAATTCTTTTTTTTTTCCTTCATTGGTTTATAAAGCCTTTTCAATGTTAGAAAATGAGAATGAACATCCAGGGGAAAGTATTTTAAAACCTGATGATTAAATGAAATAGCTTTTCTAGGTCAGTGTTCCTCCTCTGACATCTTAACGATATGGAGCCATTTTAGTTTGATAAACTAAATGCATTTTTGTGTATATTTTTAGAAACTTGAAAATAATCTTTTTCAATAAGCTAAAATAATACCCGTTTTCCAGAGGAAATGTAGCTGATTCTAGTCTACCCCAATCAAGAGAAGTATAAGCATTTCTTCTGATTTTTTTTTTTTTTCCTTAAGAAAATACTGGTAACTCTCTCAACTCTGTATTAAGAAAAAATAAGATTTTTACCCTGTTAAAAAATACCAACAGCATATTGTAAATTAATTTTATCTTTTCTTGTGCCCAGAAGCGATTCAGTCAAGTTACCTTGACTGAAAAGGTTTCTCATTTTTATCCCAACCTTAACATTTCTATGACATACAAAGTTATTAGTATTGAATTGATGTTTAAAAGTGCCATTAATTCATTTACCCCAAATGTTCATTAACAATGTAAATGTATGCTGATGTTCTATGAGACAAGGAAGTGACTAATGACTCTTCGCACTAACAACACTTAAAATGAATAGAAACTTTAGATAGCTAATCTTGAAGTAATCAAGACCCTCATTCAGCTTGGCATCTCTGTATGCTCTAAAACAGCTGTCAACTGTTAAAAATATATACACAACACACACATACGCACATGCGAAGATAAAGATATGTAAATACATGGTTCCCCAAGTCATAAAGGTTACCAACTATGGTACATTTTTTATGTTCTATCTATGTAAATATTTTATATAAAGCATCCATTTAATCTTCATAGGTTTTTTTACTGTGAAACACATACTGCATTTTAATTTGAAACTTTGTATATCCAAAATAAGTCTCTGAAGTTTTAATACTTCATCTTAAATAAGGTGTATGCTCAGATGGTTTTAGGTCTTTGGACATCAAAGTATGCAGTTGTTCTTGTCTGTGAAGCCTGCCTGTCATTGTCTTCATGAAAGTATTTCAAGACAAGGTTTTTCATTCGGCCTCAAGTTTCAGGCATGATAAAGAATCAACTTGGTGCAAATGTGTGTGTAAAGTCTTCTGAATCATGTTTCATAGAAATATGGAGGAGAGGTGGTCCATCAGTTGGAGATGTTCTGTGCAATACTGTAGAATATCAGGACATCTGAATTGTTTTTTGAAGCTGTGCTGAATGCTTTAAGCGTTACCTTGGAAGCAAAGTGCTAGAAGTCTTCACTAAGATGAAGCAATAAAAATAAAGCATGTCACTGTAAGGATGCTGAAAATAAATATTTAATCATAAAACTAGTCAGATTTGTTAATCTGTGTGAAGTATTGTATTTTTAGTATATGCAACTGATATCAAAACTTGATGCAGAACCAGGAGATGTCACGTCCAGCTGGAGTTTTGAAATTCTCTCACAAGGCATTTTCATAAAATGAAAGAAATCTCAGAAACACATGAATTGCTGTTAAGTATAGCTTGTTGGAAAACTGTGTGCGTAGACTACTTTTTGTTCATTTGCCGTCAGCTTGGAAGGATGTATTTGATGGGATTCCAGAATTTTTTTGATTGAGTCTAGTAGTGCTTAGTGCTTTTATTAAAATCTCAATTAAGGTGTAGAGACAATGCATGGTTTATTTGGGACAGGGCTGTTGGCACAGTGGAGGGCAGATGTACAATTCAAAGTAGTATTGAAATTTTGGAGAAGTGGTCTGAGAAGAATAAGACATGGTTCAGTAGGAACAGCTGCGAGGATTAATGTTGCAGATGCTAGGCAGGAGACAATTACCTAGCTGAACAAATAAAAGTAGAGCATTACAGATGAGGTAAGTGTCATTTGAAAAAAGATCTGGGCGTTCATAGCACTCCAAATTTTGTGTAACTAGGAACTTTGAATCTTGAGTTATGATGAGTCATGAGAATGTGCTTGTTTGCAAGTTTAAAATATTCAGTAATTGACAGTCAGGATCTTTTTTTCTATCCCTTTAAAAAATTCAAACCCAACCAGATACGACAGTATTTCAGTCTTTTTCCAATGGTTGATTTTTCATTGTGTCTGATTTGTTTTTAAGAAACATGTGCAATATATGCACTCATATATAATTTTTTAAAAAGCATTTTTAATAGTTGGCAAGACATTTGTGGCAGGGATTCTCACTTTAGTAGTCTAATACATCAAATGGAAGATTTTTATTTCTTTAAAGAAATTTTAATTTTGGATTATAGTTTTGGATCTGGTTGTATTTTAATTTACATGTATGTATGTCTATGTGCATTGTTATGTTTGCTTTTGACTATAGTAACTTGATGCCATATTACTACATTTTCTGTTCTAAGAATCCTTGTGATATTGTTCATTTTATTCTAACAATATTTTTGAATGATTCCCTCTGAATTAGGGATCTTTATGAGAGAAACCGATGAATCTTACATTTTTTTTGTCTCCAGCAGAGACTTTATAAACCCTGAATATATGAAGAGACATTTCAGAAACTTTGTTCTTCTACCTTCTCCCTGTGTATTGCAGCAGACAGACTGTTTTATTTCTTTCCAAATGCTTAAGGTTTATACTACATTGAAATAGGATAACTAGGTTAACTGTTTCTGACCTGCCAGAAATTTTTACTCAGAGTGTTAACCACATTCTGACATAAGTTTTGAAGAGCATAGTAGGTAGTATTCCCATTCCATGGATGTAATGAGAAAGTTGATCCTCTAAGGACAGACTGGAACAATGCATTTAATACTCCTCAATTTAATTTGCTCAATATCACAATTAATACAATTAAGGTCACTTGAAATGAAACTATTAACGAATTGGGTAATTTACTTTAACAATGTCAGTGTGTTCCCACAATTACATTTGCTTTAATTAGTGTACAAGCTATTATTTAATAGCATATTTCACATAGAAAAATGTAATGTGTTCTTTGTTCTTAATAGAAGAAAAGGGGAAACGTTTAATGGGTCTAAGTGTTTTGGATTTGGAGTCTACAGGGTTATATTTCATGTCTAAAGGCAATAGTTGGTGGTGAGGACAGAGAAGGCTGATATGGCTGGAAGGACAAAGATAACTACTGCAGTGTGTGACTGAAATTAATCCAGTTGAGATAGATCAGTTGCCCACCTCATGCTTACCATTGCATCCCTCCTGATTATCAAGGTTTCCTTTAAAAATGTGAGAGGGTAAGACAACATTCATATTTCTACTTCGACCATGTTCTGTGTTTTTCTATTGCTCATCTTTGGACAACTTTGCTGTTTTGGTGTTAACCTCATAACCCTGATCACTAGAAAGTATTACTATGTAGAACTGTACCTTATGTGGAGTTTGAGATACCTAGTTTATATCAGTGTTATACAGAAAGCATAAAAATCAGAGGGGGATGAATTAGTAAAGTAAATGCCAGCTTCTCTAGACCTATCATGTTAATTTCCTCAAATCATATGTGCAGTTCTCATGGGACTGTTGTGGTCTTGGGTGCATTCTTTCACATTAGTTCCAGGGTTAAGTGAATTTTTGTTCTCAGAAAATTGTATTGTCTCCTAATCAGTCAGTAGCTGTTCAGTGTTACGAGTTTACAACCCTTCCAGTCAGTGAAACAATGCTAAAGCAGATTGCCCTGTGTGGCATTTATCTGTCTGGTTTTAGAGATCATTTCTGTGATTACATTTAAAAGGACCCATCACAGTGGTCTAGACCTCTCTGTGTGAGAAGTACATTCCGAGCTAAAAGAAATTGAGAATGGAAATATAGTGAGTTCTTGAAGCCTTACTGCTTTCGTAGCAAATATTTTTTGTGTATTGTATGGTGTCTTGTGTGTCATGTAATGTGTGTTCTTTCCTCTTCTCTCCAGTGAGGGACATGCACATGAAGTATAGCATTCTGTTG